ATAAATGCCAAGTCCGTTTCAGAAACTCAGGTTTAGGCTTTCCTATCATAAAAATATCATTTATATTTTGAGATATTTAGCCTCTTTCTTTAAATTCATATTTTCTTTCATTACATCTTATTTATAATAGATATATTTTCAGCGTGGGTGGGTTGGTTCATAGCAACTCGTATTTTGATAAATGTCTCCGTTTCCACTTGTATGCAATATTTCTTATACAACATGTTAAATCATATATGCAGTCGAATTTGTAACTTATATATTCTATTATGAAGTAATTTTGAAGCTGGAAAACTGAAAAATCGTAAGGAACAAATTTTAAGTGCAAACGCAATTTTCTTTTACTAAAGTGCAAACATAATTCTCTTTTACTAAATAAGAAAAAAATGTGATTTTGCTGAAATAGATCTACTTAACAACTTTAGAACCAATTTCAAATCATCGTTAAAATCAGAACCTAAATCTAATCCAAGCAATAGAACGAAGCTGAAGTGATGTCTTGATAATTATTTTGAAGTGACAATTGTAATAAATGAAAAGAAATCGGGAATACAAGAGATTGACTCAGTTACACAGTTATAAGAAAAGATAATATCAGGAGTACTTCACAGCCTTGAAGATAATTTCCTTAGATAGTTTCCTAGAATTAAGATAAAGAAATTGACAAAGTTTGTTTTGATTGGATACTGTTATAACTTATATGGCCTCGTGCTGTTCATTGACCTCATTTGAATGATTTCCTCGCACAAATAAGCTTTTCACTGACATGGTATCAAAATGGAAATGACAGAACCAAATAACTGTTTTTTTTTAAATATCCATATTTAGATATAGATTCATTTGGTATGACTATATGGACATTTAAAACAACATGTACGTTACAAATATTCAACATATGAGAATAAATAATCCATGACATGCACACCAACACCAATGATAGCACAAAAAGAGAGACTCCTATCTTTATTTAGGTTATCTGTGTTGTTGATATGACATACATAGCCTTCATTCAATACAAAAAGATACCTTAAATTAAATATTATCACAGTTATTTATTTATATATTCATTTTATAACATAGTTTGACTAGAATTATAGCATTGCAACACATTATTTAAGTTAAAAAGAGAGTAAATGTACTAGGAAGCAAATGATAAAATTCATAAGCATAAGATATTTTACCGTTAGACAAACAACAATTAAATTAACAGTTATATGACAGTGACAAAATAAAACCTATTACTAAAACATTGTCAAGATACCAAGACGCAACGATTTGTCAACGGAGACAGGAATTCTAATAAAACTTTAAAAAATGTGCAAATGATGCAAGCAATGATTCTTACAATTTAAAATAGTGTGATAAGTAATAGAAAAACCATCGAGACACCAGGCCATCTGATTTGTACAAGGCCGGCATAGCCCCGAGTATAAATTAGATTGCTGAGTGTTTTTGTGTTCTTTCTTCTAAAATATGTCCCCTCTTGTCACATTATGAAACCCCAGAAAAAAGTAACCAATGAACGAGCATCTAAAAATGATTTCTTTCGCTATCCTTTCTCTGTTATAATAATGAGTAAACACCAGAAAAAATGAGCCAGTGAATGGACATGTTCCAAAGTGCGGGTGAGTTATACCTTCTGCACTCCAGTTAACGCGATGTTCTTGTGTATGTTAACGATTAAATTCTGGTATATAGTTTTAACAGAAAGGTTCCCAAACTATGATTTAAGTTTCATAAACACTCTTTGAGGGTAGCCGAATGCGTGTGTGTTATACCTTCTGCATTCCAGTTACCGCAATGTGCTTGTGTATGTTTACGATTAAATTCTCAGAAAGTTCCCAAAACTTTGATTTAAGTTTCATAAACACTCTTTGAGGGTAGATTTAAGTTACATTAATGTGATTTTTATGAATCATAACGTTTTTCATTCAACATCAATGTGCTCTATAAAGTGAATAATGAGTATCAAGAACTTGTGGATAGTTTGAAAAGTAGACGGTTTGAGTAAATCATATGTAATTAGATAAACAATATTTTCATCTGCTCGTATAAAACATAAACATTATTTTTAAATCATTTTTATAGTGTTGAACAAGCAAACAACTGTGTCTCGACATCCCCAAAATTGGTAATGGTAGTTCTAAAAATGGAACCTGGACAAGTGCATTTACCAAATACAGCTGGTTCAAGGTTAAGAAACATGTTATATAGCGTTGCGACGAGAGACTATAATGTGAAAATTATATCATGGCTGTGGCTGAATCTTGAGTTTCCTCTACACAGCGATATCATGTCAATGAAAAAAATATTTTAAGAACTTCTCTACTGACTCACAAAACGTGTTTCGATCGACTTGTTTGAAGTTTTTGGTCATGTCCCGGCAGTCTGCCCACTCAAGAGGCTTTCCTGGATTACCGTCCAGTAATTATTTTTTCTGACTGACCTACTACTTATCCCACATACTTATAATAGTTTCAATGTCCGTATCTATTGGAATTGAACAAGCGACCTTGTATTATAAATCAGGTGCTTTCACAAATGAGCAGTCCGTGCAGACTTTAAATATGATCAAATGACGTTTTAAGTTGTTACTCGGAATAAGATCAAATTTAGTAGTGTCTGAATACATTTATTCTAACATACTTTAAACAAGTCACCTATATAGGGCAGTTGAGTGTATTATCGCATGATGTAGTGTTCCTAATCTGGTATTTGTTATTAACTTTCTTTATTGGTAATGACGCACAAAGTATCTTAGATACAAAGTAAACACTTAAAACATCACATTTCTTCAGAAAATAAGTGCGTTATTTCTAATAAAGCACAATTATATAAGTTTAAAATTTCACTTGACGATCTCATTACAAAGGCTAGAAATTTAGGACTAGCTATACTCAGATAAGGGATGGGCTTAGGTAATATCCTCTAAAATCTTATAGTGGTAGAATTCACTGCATAAATAATCTTTTTTCCTGAGTAGCAATACTCAGTTTTTGTTTAAATCTTAGGTGCCTGAGATATAACAAGTAAACGTTTCTTTTAAATTAATTTTAAAATCAAACTTTTGGCATAAGCGTATATAAACCTAATCATGGACGGTTAGAGAGATTATGTGTCCTTGTGTGACTGCTTTTATGTTTTTTTACATCCACCATACTTACATTCGGCTTTCATGTTCATATTTATGGTAATTTATCACTCGGGCATATCGGTGATCATATTTCTGCAAATTTGAACTTGACCGTGAACTTTTCCTAAACACCGCACTCAAGATTGATATCTTTTTTTTGTTATTGGTGCATGGTTTAATACAAAATGAATAGTTATATTAAAACATTCTAGGTAGTTTGTTTATGTATCTATCATTCCTACTAGATCTCGTATTTCATTCTCATGTATTTTCTTTTTATCTCTGTATCAAATGCATTTCTAAAAATAGCATTGATATATAAATTTTTCACTCCCACTTCATTCATTTGAAGCTACGGTTAAGGCAAAATCAGCAGTCATTAAAATGAGACGGTTTTAATTAAACAAATTATCACAGTTTTAAAGTTCTAGCAAAAGTAATTATCTGTTGGTAAGAGTGTGGTACATGCTGAGATAACTATAAAAAAAGCATTAAAGTAAAAAAACTTTTATACAGTATTGATATTATTATAATTTTATCTATTATTAATGTCTTAAAAATATATGTATATACATCGAATGTATAAGAAAATATATTTTGTAAAACATTAGAACAAATAGGTTGTTAAGTTCGCGTCATTTGCAATATATTTTTAATGGAATAACGGAAATAATGAACTTGATTGGATTCATTTTGTAACCGATTACACTTTTTGTCGATTTGTTGGAGCTTTCATAATCAAACGTTCAGTGTCTAATGAACTTCATGATAAGTTTACTTTTTTGTTTATAAAACACAAAGTGAAGAACTATACTTTTATATGGATGCATTCTTATTGATGTATTAGGCTTCCTGCCCATGGCCATTTGAATAAATATATTTGAATAATAAATATATTTGAAAGTGACACTTATTTGTATATATACAAAAAATTGTCACTTTCAACAATTCACATGAAATCTGCAATTCCACTGTTTATCAACATCAACACGATAACATTGTCTTAGATGTTAACAAATTGTTAAATGAAATAACAATTCTGAAGAAGTACTAATGCGAAGCAAATGAATTCACAGCAAAAGAAGTTTAAAGGCCCATTATGCTCCAAAGTGGCTTTTATTTTATTTCATTATCTGGACCATCTTTTGTCTCAGTTGTATTTTGATAATTAGTACGAATACAGTTATAGTCATTTAGTATTTTGTAAGGAAGTCAAAATACTACCTTGTTCACAACTTGCTTCTTTTATGACAAAAAATTTACATTAAGTACTAGATTCTCCTGTTGATTTGCATATCAAATGCTCTAAAATTATCATTTCAACGTTTTTAAACTACTGTTTAGCCGTTTTAAAGAAGGAATAAAAATAATATTTTCTGATACTTTATGTGATTGATTCTAAAATGATTTTAAAGATAACATGCTTAGAACAGAAGAAAATTCTTTTTTCTGTTCATTCGAAATTAAGTAAAATTGGATATTGAGAAAAGATTTTGAAATTAATATTTGTGTCAAGTTCTGTGACTCTTGAAAAGTTCAACCTCATTTCAAACTTTGCTTCGAGTTCATTAATATAATTTCCTAGAGCAACCACTATGATCATTGTAAGACAAGAGAAAATGTATAATAGTTGTTTCATAACATTTGAGTGTTAGCTGATAAACGTAAAGGCATAAAATACACAATGCCGCTAGTTTATAAAAGTCAGAGTATTATGTTGAGGCAATTATCTCATGAGACGAAAATAATTAGATAATCTTCCTGCAAAAATAATTGCGAACGAAATTTTGTAAGGTTAAAATGCGATTAAACTCGAAAAATAAAACTGGATTCCATTAGAAGTTAATGGGTTCTTATATGTTCGAGTCACCCCAAATCGTGATATACCCGAAATCGTGATACCGGATGTTTATAGTTAAATGCGCACGCGCTATTTCGTTTCGACGTCACAAACCCGGATATCGGCGTTAGAAGTGTCAAAGAAGTTTTCTGTCGACAAAATGCTTCGTATAAAGCTAGGAGGCGTAAGATTTGCATAATTTTCTGTATACAAGTGTATTTTAGCATATATTTTGTAAAGCAAATTTACATTACCACTTCACCATTCAATTTTCTCACGAAAAGTACTTCAAATCACAATTGTTGACAGTCGTCTGTTTGTTTACATTCATTACTTATGAGTCAAGGTCAGATTAGACTGGTTCACCTACTGGAAATTATCCCAAAGAGGTATTAAAAGCGGAAAGTTCCTTATACAATGGAAAACCCTAATTGAAAGTTAATTTGTTTATGGTTTTATGTGTATTGGTCAGTATGAATGTTTTTTTTGCTTATATTCTTTAGATATTTTGCATTTTCTGCAGGTTTTTGGGAGTCCCCCACCTACCAAAAGAAAATACAGGCAGTATTCACCATCAAGTTTGGATAAGGCATACCAGTGTGCAGTTGAGGGTGAGCTGTCTGTTAGGAAGGCATCCAAGGTCTATGGTGTGCCTATGCAGACCTTAAGGGACAGAGTTCTTGGACATATTGAGCCAGATACGACTAGGTGAGATGCTTCTATATTCTTGATTAAGATGAAACTTATTAAATCTTTGCTTATTATACATTTATTAATGTTTCTTATTTGTTTTCACAGGTCAGGTCCTGGGCCACTTTTGAGTGAATTTGAGGAGGCGAAATTGGTAGATCATATCAAGGACATGGCATATGTTGGGTACCCATACACTAGAGCAGAGGTCATTAACACTGCTACAGAATTTGCAACATGTCTTGGTAAACGTTCAAGAGAAAAGTCACTTACTTATAAGTGGTTCTATGCATTTTTAGGTAGGTGGCCAGAGTTGAAAGTTCAGAGACCTAAAACTATCTCTGAACTTCGAGCAAAGGCAACTAGTAGAGAAAGTATTAATCGTTATTTTAACGAACTCAGGTCTATCTTGGACAAATATGAACTGACAGATTGTCCAGAATCAATCTATAATGTGGACGAGAAAGGTGTACAGCAAAATTTTACACCTTCCTATGTTGTTGGCCCATCTGATACCAAGACATCTGTAGTAACTTCAGAGAGGTCCAGTACAACAACCATACTTGGATGTGGAAATGCACTTGGACAACAGATCCCTCCCTACTTTGTGTTTGCAGGTATGTCATTTGACTAAAGTTGTGTTAAATTTTATCTATGAGCATACACTGTAATAAGTTTTTAAAATTGCAAACACTATTTTTCAGGAGCCAGAATGAGGGATGAGCTAATGGAAGATGCTTCACCAGGTGCTCAGGGCACAGTTACAAAATCTGGATGGTCAAACGGTGAAGTTTTCCAGAAATACCTCCAGACTCACTTTGTGAAATATGCCACTGGAAAGCGACCCATCCTCCTATTATATGATGGGCATAGGTCCCATATTACACCATTTATTATTGACTGGGCAATAGAACAAAATATTATATTGTATGTTTTACCTCCCCACACATCTCATATTTTGCAGCCAATGGATGTTGGATGTTTTGGTCCTTTTGCTAAGATATATTCTCAAGAATGTAACAAGTTTCAAAGATTTACAGGTAGAGTTGTGGATAAGTACAGTGTCTGTGCCATTGCGTGCAAGGCTTATTCTGTTGCTCTTTCTGTAAAAAATTTGCAGTCCGCATTTATGAAATCAGGCATTTATCCTTTTAATCCTGATAAAATAGATACATCATTATTTAAAACGCATGAGTTAAGAGCAAGTTTTGTGGATGAAGACACTGTAAGTCATGACCATTTGCCAGCTGTCCTTTCTACAGCTGATTCAGATGAGACTGTTAATTATGCTGAGAATGAGTCTGTAGCCGAGGATTCTGAACTTTTGACCGCAGTTCCATTGGATCAAGTTACTTCTTCTACACTTGTCCTTCCTCAAACATCATCTTCAGAATGTACAAGTGATGTTGCTAGTTCATTTTTTAGGAAAAAGAGACCAGTTTTCAAACCACCTTTTAAAAAAGAAAGAAGGTCTATAAGTAAAATAGTTGCAGGCAAAGCTATTACTGAGCCTACAGTTGCAGCTGATGTAAAAGATTACATATCAAATACACAAAGAAAGTCAACTGCAACTGCTACAAAGGGATTTCGAACCCCTTCCAAAAGCCTGTCTGCTAAGGGTAATCCAAAGCCCTCTTCATCTGGAACCTCCAAGTCTGGAGGCCCCATTGACTTGAGTACACCTCCTTTGATGGAGGATAGTGTTGATGATGACTCTGTTGTTGATGATGATGATGATGAATTATGCTGTGTATGCAACAAATTTCAACCTGAAGAACTTTCAAACTGCCATGTTGTTACTTTTTTAAAATGGGCTAAGTGTGATTTTTGTGAACACTGGACACATCTTATTTATTGTTCAGAAGTAAGAGTTGTCCGTAGAGGGGATGAGTTTAGATGCCCCCACTGTTAAAACATATTGTCGTTTACATCCATGTTATTGTTAAATATTATTTTGATACTCTGTTTACTTGAAGAATAATCAATACATATTCGTAAACTAATATGATTTCTTGCGTTTATCCTTAGGTTTCGGTGTATTATTGATTTTTCTAAACATAACGAATTGAGGTATACCAGTCAAAAAATAAACCGTTTCCGGTATACTTTCAAAATGGCCGCGCCCAAGGCTACATGATAACAATTGTTTGTTTTCCTTTTGTTGGATATATAGAGGTAAGATATATTTTGATTTATGAACAGTTTGAAAATTGTTTTTTGTTGTCATTAAATTATTGTCCGCGTCAATGCGCTTAACATAACGAAAACTGGTGACTCGAGGGTACATAAGGATAGATGGTATTTCCATGTTTATATTGAAGTGATATCTTTATCTCTTTAACAAAGATCAAAACGTACATTAGAACACTCCAAAGATGGATATTGTAAGTAATAATTGTCAATTTGATACTTATGTTGTATTTTCAATTATAGAAAGTGTTTTAATTTTTAAAAAGTTTACGAACAGAATAAATTAATACCCGTTCAGCGGTGTATATGTTTTACTTTTTATTAGGCAGTGCATTTCAATTGACTCAGATATTTGGTTAAACAGTGTTGTTTAAAGCCCATAGTCTTTAAATGTTTTGTTTTTATTTCCTAGTATTTTACAAATTAATTTCGATTTTCTTCAATCCATTCCATATTTATGTACAAGTAAATAAACAAGAAATCATCCTTAATTATCAAATAGATACAATCAATCTTCTCACAAAAGCCCTTTTTTAGCAAACGCCTAAGTTTCAATTAAATCTATTCCATTAGCTTTTTATTTCATATAATAACCCACACTGCGTTTTCTTTGCGAAAAAGGACGATGTTGAAAGTCATTATGAAATTTATTGACAAAAGACAGCAAATTTTTGTGAAACCCAAATCGTATATTTATAAAATATTACACAACGTTTGAAACAATATTTCATCAACCCATTTATTGATGAAGCATTTGTTATACAAAATGTAAATGTCATAGCTAAGTCAGTATTTAATGGGGATGACCATAGTTGCCAGATACAAAATAAGTTATACTCCTTACACCTTCTTAAAGGAATAAAGTTATTAGATTTAAAATAAGATTCGAAGAATTTGAAATCACTTTCAAATATGAATAGATGAAATAAATTAATTTAATAAAACATACTTGTTAATGTACACATGAACATACTGGAATAGAATCAAATAAACTTTGAACTTCAACAATATTGCAAAGCTTAAGAAAATAACTGGATGCTATTTTAAGAAAAAATGTGATTTAGATTGATACATACATTTTAAGACCCGGTTGTAGACTTGAAACACAGAAAACATATACATCCTAAATAAATCAACAATTTGTGAAAGTTGTTATGTTAAAAACACATACGACCGTTTAAAAATCTAGAAACAAAGTGAGCTCTCGGAAGTATTAATCACAACAAAATTACAAGAGAATTGCAAACTCGATTTGATTGAGTCTGTGCATGAGGTATAATGAATACGTGCAACATCCCTCACGCCCCCTAGCACCGGCTTGAGCGGTACTCAATGCTCAATATTAAACCTACTTAGTTATTCTAGCTCACAATATTAGAATTCCGTTTTGTTTCACTTTTCGCAAAATGTTCATCATTGCCCTCAAATAGTAAACAAGTCCCAAGTCTCGCAACTTGTACTCCAATTCTCAGATTTTTATTCAACAAGATGAAAGCTTTAATGACATTATGGACATCTGCAGTTTTCTTATTTATACTTTTTGTTTAATTGATAATTGTCTGGACAGTTTTTGTCTCACCTTTATGATGCCACATAAGAAGAATAACTTGCTATCTGTCATTAAGTACATCTGTATCAAAATCTACGCAACGTGGAATGCAAGACAGAACAAACCGTCCATTATGGAATTCTTAAATACATTTCTGTATAACTCTTTTATACGTTAGTTTTAATAGTTATAAATAATGTTCATATACTTTTGTCAAAACTACGACAGCATGTATTATGATAAAGTATCCGCCATAACTAAATAAAATTCGAGGATTTCTCGATTTATTTAGTTATGATGAATATTTCTGTCTGATGAAAGTTGAGAACTTATTTCATTGAAAAGCATTTGCAGATGGTCAACTAATTTCCGTTACCATTGTCGTAGCTTCTGGTACTGTATTCAATCTAGTAAAGAACTTTATGATGGGAAGTGACGTCAATACAAGACGGTGAAAAGATTAATTCACCAGGAACTGGTATCATGACATTAGAATAATCTGTTTCTAGCACATTAACATGGCTTCTTATACTTTAAACTAGCAGCACGTTTTACGTCGATCTTTTATTATGAAATGGTTAAAAGTGCAATCAAATACCATATTTTTAAAACAGTTGTCAATTCCTAGGAACGATAAGTTGACTTAATATATGGTAGAAAAACAATCCTGCGTGACAAGATGAATATTTTGCCTTATCCAAAAATAATATTTTTATTTATTTTGTATATGGTTTACTAAGTCGTAGCCATTTGTCTTATAAATTATTCCTACATTAAATCATAATTATGTGTAAATAAATAAATAAATAAATAAATAAATAAATAAATAAATAAATAAATAAATAAATTAATTAATTAATTAATTAATTAATTATTAAAAAATGAAAACAAAACAAAAAACAACAACAACAACAAAAACAAACAAAAATACACAAACAAACAAAAGGAAAGAAACAAACAATAAGTTAAGTCGGAAATAGAATGTTATGAATGTTACATATTAGAAAAAAATAAAGACTTAAACAACGACTGAATATACTTTACTCATAAGAAAACATATACACTAGCAGATTTCCTTGTTCCACGCGTAAAACTCAATACGATTTAATATTTTACTTCACTTGACTTGATATTTCATTCATTAAACTGAAATCATTATTGAATGAAAAAAGCTTTCAAATAGACAGAAACAGTATTTAGCGTTATAAAGTAACAAAAGACAGTTCATGTATATTGCAAATGATTGTTTTTTTTGAAACTGTAAAAAGATACCAAAAAAATAATAAAAAGGGGTCTTTAAACAAATCTATCATTCCTTGTGTTAATTACTGCTTGACATGGCAACAATTGTGAAACTCATTATTGTTTTTCTGATTATACTTATTATATTAATTATACTTGCTTTCTTAAAAAATAAATTTTTCCAACATAACACTTGAATTGTAAGTCTTCGGTATCAATTTTGCCGAAACTTTAAAAACGTCACTAATACATAATTTATATCAGCCTAAATTCAGATACTTTTGCAAATTTATCATACGTTATGAAGGATATGTATGGAAATAAGAGAATATGTTGAAACGTAAGTTACTAGCACTGACCTAGTTTTTAGAAAAATCTTAGTTGATAACAGTCTAGTCAAGTTCCTTTAACTACACAATAACACATGTTGATGGTAACCTATAAAAGTCAAAATTACAGAAAGTGAAATGTTCTTTTTTTCTGGAACTGAGTCAATATGAAGAGTCTTATATTGGCTTCTTTACACGCCAAATCTAGCTACTTTGTTGTAAATTTCAAATTACTGAGCTGTTAATTCGTATACTTTATATTAAAAATCGTCTGCCAAAACATTTTTACAATCCATATCTAGCTTTCACGTCGTAAATTTAGAATAATTGACCGGTTAATTTGAATAATATTCAATGAATATTGTATTTCGTCTGCTATGATACTTAATATAGCAGTAACTTGGATGATTCGATGACATTTACAACAAAATTTAAAGTACTTCTGCCGATAACTAATTACATTTTAAAAACATATATACACATACTTAAAATACAAACTACTGCAAGTCTTATGCTGCGGGTTAAGATTCCTATCACTTTGGAATTACTTTTATTATTACAGGATGCATATCGAATTTAATTGACCGCAGGGTTTTGTTTTTTTGCGTTCTCAAAATTTCATTAGTGAAATAGGTTTAAGTTTAACTTTCTTTACCGTCGGAATCATTGACTCTGGTAACTATAGTTAAGAATATTTGATAAGTTCTAGATGAATGTTTAACAAAACAGAGAAGAACAGAATCCCTAAAGAAAGCCTAACACGGCAAAATCGGAAATGTTGTAGGCTCGGTTTGATTGAGCCTATTCATGGACGGTACTGGAAAGTGCAAATTACTGCTCACGCCCCCAAGCACCCACTTAAGTAGAATTAAACATTTAAACACGTAAATGGTGAAATGGTGAATCTAGAAACATCCACAGATGTGTTCATGCGGCGGCTATCTTTGAACCTTCAATGTGTCACAGCAGTGCCATTCCGTGAAAAGCTTCGCATGGTCCCCAAGTAAATAAGAATGAGTGTGCCAGAAAAGAGAAAAACAATGGGCGGAACTAAATAAAACGGAATTTTGAATGGGAATATAAAGATATGAAGGCTTTATATCACAGAGAAGACGTCAAAAGACAAATTTAAAAAGCAGGCAACATATCTTAAGGGTGATTATACAGTATTCAAGAAAGAATACTGGAAGCACCAAAGCTGAAAAAGGCCAAATAGTAAAAACTTAAAATACCATATACCATGTACACACAACAATAATGCCGTGCTGATCGATCTCCAAGTTAAACGTTTAGTTTAAAGGTAAACAAAGTACCTAGTAGCAGACGACATAAAACCGACACATGTTTTCATTAAACAAACGATACATAGTTAAGTAACGAAAAATCTTAACTATAATAACAATGTCATTAGTGCTTATTTTTATTATTTCTTTGTATTCTGTAAATCGTCCAGTCGGACAAGTTCATTTTATTTCATCATAAAACAAGAAAAGCATTGATGCAAAGCATCAAAGGGCGTCCAAGCAAGAAATGCAGCAGGTGAAGATGAACTAGTAGACATATGATGACAAGATATTCTTATAATCTTTTCAATGGTTAATTGGTTTTTATCACTTATAAATGAACGGAAGAAAGACTTTGTATTAATTATGAACTTTGATCGGCATGCTAGAGATTTAAAATATTACTTGCTATTTCTTTATGATCGTGATTATTAATAGCAACGGATAATCATGTATACAATCATTTATAATCCATATGTGTAACCCATGATCAACACCACACTTGTGTAATTATTATGTTATCGCTATAAGAGAAGAACCCCTCTTAAGATATCTGTTCATATAACACTGGTTATATAACCATGTTGATCATATTGAGCATAATTGTTTATTATACAATAATTGTAATATCTATTTTAATAAAAAAAAAATTAAAGATTTTACGAATATTGTTTTCTTTTCTTTTTTGT